AAGAAAATATTTGAGTTAAAAAAGAAAGCAAATTGCAGTAAATATATGACGCACTGAGATATTAATCATTACCCTGTTGCAGCATGATATGTAAGGGCTTGGTCATTTATTTAGCAAATAGAAATATTTACCGTTGCCCAGGAAATTAAGCACCAATATTGGCTACATTTATAGAAAAGTTTTTAGATATGGTTGTACTGATGTTTACTGTACATTAATCTGAGCGAAATAAATATTTTCCTCTAGTATCAGTTTATACCTTTATTATTTTTCAGGAGAATTTATCTTAAAATGTTTGCACAGAAATAGGAAGAATTATTCACACAACATATGTAATACCAAATGAAACGTTATATTACATAATTAGCACATAACCCAATCATTCACCATTTTATTCATCAAAAAAAATATTGGCAGCAAGAAGATGAACATTCTATAAACGGATAAAAGGAATGGTTTTATACACAATTCATTTAATAACTGCAATTGCTAATATAACCGGGTTAGATATAGATAAAAAATAAATGATAAGATAAATAAATAAATACACAATTTATATATAAAAAAGGATAGATAGCATGGTATGAAAAGATTAAATCGTGAATGTATACCATATCTGTAAAGGGAAGTTTAATGCTTCCCTTTTCCTTATTGGATAAAGTCAGAGTTTTAGTAAAAGTGTCTCCTCCATTAATACTGAGCAGTTCAGCGTCTACAGGTGTGAACGGAGTTGCGAAAACCACTACATCATTCTTTAGTGTATCTGAGATAAAACACACGTCACATTGCTGTGTAGCTTTAGAGTAAGACCAACTCTCATCAGGGTGGCTGGTGATCATGGAGGGGCTGTACCTGCTAAAATTGCCTTCTGTCCTATGGCATCTTAAAGTAATTAGACTGATGAAGCCCAACAGAAATATTACGCATTCAGAAAAAATGGCGATCATTAGATATGAGTGAAAAACTGAAAAAATGTCCTCCTTTAAATGCACATGTCTTTAAAAAAAACTCTGTCATTTTATTGTTTTAAAATGCTTCTGTTTTGATAATATTTTTGGTACACCCTGTGAACTTGATTTCAAGTTTTTACTGGCCCATTTGAATATTCTAGCTAAAACAAGTTATTTGATACATGCTATAAATACAGCATAAAATATATATTATATGATATTTTTTTAGGTATCTTGGTAAAATAGTAAAATTGAGGAAATGTTGCTGTTTTTATATTTTATATATGTTTTGACCCTAAATGGGTTTAAAGATGTAACCTTCTGCAGTGTTAAGGTTTCGACTCTTAGGGCCGCTGTTGACTAGCGCTCTGGTGGATTACAGAGTGTGGTTCCATCATCCGAACAAAATGCACATTAGATAAAGGGAGCAAAGCAGTCGGTCATCGGGTGGGTTTGATGGAGGAATATTACTGATAAAAGGATTAT